TAAATAAATGGTATGTGCTGAACAAACCCTTTATGAAGGGTTTTGGGTCTCTGAGGGGTTTCAGTTTATGGTCGGGTTCGGGAGGCTTTAGGATTTCGGGGGCCCGGGATTGGGGTTTGACGATCCCCTTGCCCACGAACTGAAGCGACACCCAGACCACAAGACTTGGCTACCCGATAGGGGTTTAGGGTTTAGGGATTTATGGCTAAGGGTTAAGGGTTTAGGGGTTTAGGGCTTAGTGAAAATATAACATGTTCCAAAGGCCTACCTAGAAGACCAGAACCCGTTAGCCTTGGACTCTTTTACCTACTATCGGGGACTTACTAGTTAGAGCAGGGCTTGGCGTGTATTCTAGTATTACCATAATAAAAACAAAGCTAAAGAATACGACTGAATGCTTAATTAGAACAGGGCTTTGGTATATACACATTCTAACAAAATCATAGTAAGGAACTTTGAGGAATACTAGTACATACTCGGGCTTCTGCTTACGACCAGTCCGCCTTCACTTGGAGGTCTTTGGTGAGAAGCAGATTCAGCCTTGGTAAGACAGCAGGCATGCGTGGTCAGACTTTACAAAACCCTAAACCCAAACCCGCGCGAAATCCTAAACAAAGCCCTGATTATATTCCAAACCATCCAGAGCTCTAATCCTGAGCCGCAAGAGTTGAAGATTTGTCGTTTGGTTTTCTGGGTCAAGGAAAGGAGGGTTCGGAGTGACCGAATCGCCGCGAGTTGATGCCTGGGTACCGCGGCCGTTTCGGGAGCTAATCGGGCACAATGGGAGTCCCTCTGCTCGGAGGCCGTGAGCTTTTCGCAGTTCTCTGGCACATGGGGGGTTGTCAAAATTAGGTCCCGGCACCTAATATTTAGAGTACCCAAAAGGGGACCAACATTTTGACAACCACCCACATCATGTCGGGCGACCTCCTGACGAGGAGCTCTACATTGCTCGACCGTCACTTTGCCAAGGATTCTTTTGTCGAGGGTCTAGGGTTCAATCTGGGGAGTTTCGAAGGACGTACCTGTCATTAGATGAACATAGCAACGCCGCCTTTGGGCTGAAAAGCTTGCCAGCTCACAGCTCAAAGTCTAAGTTGTGATGCTCCGCATTCATAGTCGGGATTGTGGCTGACAGTTACTTCAGCTTGTGGACTCTTGTGTACATCGCTGTTACGGCCACCCGGTATCCTTACAACTCGAATCAGAACCCCCAAAAGCAGACAGAAGCAAAAGCTGCTGAAGAATTGGAGGCATGGCCCCGGAGACTCTAAACCCTAACCCCGAAACCCTAAAAAAAAGCCTTAGGTCCCGCGTCCCAGGCTGTCAGCTGGTAATACGACCCGGCACGATTACTAAAACGAACTGCTACTGCTAGACTGCGACCGCTGTTGCAACTGCTACTGCTACGCTACTGCTATGCTGCTGCTACTACCACTGCTACTGCTATTGCGAATGGTAACAGGAACGGTTCAAATCAAAAAAAAGCACCGATCAATTGGAATGTCAAACGTACTACCCTCAATATGAAACATGTTTGCACGACAGACCGATAGCATTTTACACTAGGGAAGATGGATTCGATGATGGGGGAGGAAATTGCAAAGATAGCGAGAAGGATCATGGCAATCAATGCATCTGTCCCACCCCTACCCTCGATGATAGCTATGATAACGCAACTAGCCCTAAGCCCTGAGGGTCCATGTACCCAAATAGTATATACTTCGGCCCCAAAGTACCTATAGTATATAGGGACTGCTTTAAAGCCAATGTATATACTACTTGGGTACATGGACCCTTAGGGTAAGCTTGCCAAGCCACGGCTTCAAATCTCGATGAATTATGGGATGATTCAGACCATGCAGGTAGGCCAAGGCCTGGCGCGTCTCTTGAACAGAGTTTGCGGATCTATAGTGAACTCCAGAAAGCTGGAACATGAAATTAGGATGATTCGTGCAGGAATTCCCTATACTTTACCTTCAGGGCATGAGGATAATGCTGTTCCAACTTTCTGGCTTCTACTGCAGGGCTGAAACTCCTAACACGCAAGGTATGGGTTGGCGAGCTTCTTGTGTGTGCACCACATCAGAAACGACATCCATTACAAACATGTTGCTGAGGCCAAGGCTCTACCCTAAGGCATGGAACCCTTCAACACGACCTGCCAGTAAAATGGAACTAGATTTAACCCTAGACCCTCTCAAGGGGACCCGATTCGAACCCTGTAGTGCCCTTTGAAGGAACCCTACCATGAACCTTACTATATGAACCCTTTAAATCAAACCCCACTATGAAGCCTGAACCCTGCAGGCCCTCAACCTTAATACAAGACTCCGTCTCGATATAACGTCTAAGGCTCGTCGACCAAGCTTTACATTCCCGTCGCTTGTGGCCTCTGCGGTCGAGGTCGCCCACTGAAGAGCAAGCGAAAATCGCGGCTTGAAGGAATTGTTGTACCTGGTTTCATTTCAATTTCGGAACAAAACCCAACATCCGAAACCCAACAACCTAAACAATAAACCGCGGAAACCTTAAACCATCTCCGGCTGTGACAGTGAATGTTTGACGCGTTGAGGGCTGAGGCTTTGGGGTCTAGTTCTTTGGTGGTACTGTTGATGGACAAAATGCTGCATGACGCTAAGGACTCTAAGCTATGGGAACTATGGTATATTCCTTATTCTGGGTAATGCAGGATTTTGTCCATCAGCAGCAGGGCTTAGGTCTGTTGGCTTTTGCTGGCCTTTGAAGCAACCTGAGAGGATAGCATGGACTTGTATCTCATAATGATTCCTTCACCCATATAGGCCCCATAAAGGTTCCTTTTTGGGACTACCTTATAGAATTCTAAACATGAACCCCGAAAAGGAACTACTTTGGGGCCTATGGCCTATGGGTAATGAGCAGCTCCAAACCAAAGTATTAGATTATGGTACTCCAGAACCCAGTAGATGGTTAAGGCTGTGGGGTTCGGAGCCTTTTGGCCAGCGTTTTGGGTTCAGAGCGCAGGGTTTAGGGGCGCAGGGTTTCGGAGTTCCGGACTTCGGGACGGAGAGTGGTTTAGGGTTTAGGGTTTTAGGGTTTAGGGCTTTAGGGCTTTAGGGTTTTAGGGTGAAGGGTTCAAAACAGCAAGCAGAGAAGTTTGATTTGAACCCTCGAGCCCCAATTGCCCTCAACCCTACCAAATAAGTTTCTTAAGTGCAAGAGCCCGCCTTCGAAAGCACAGACTAGTAGCTCCAGGATCTAGATGTGAGAAAACCAGAAATACAAAATCGTCTGGTCTCCGCAAACAAATCGTGAATACTACCTTACACCCAGGTCAGCCTGACGATAAGCCGAAAACGCTTAGAGGAAGCGCGGACATCCCATCTCTTGACCCTACCTGGATAGTTCTCTAAATTAGACCCTTGTTGGGTCCCCCAAAATCGTATGGCAGCACCGCTATAAACAGGATCCTGAAAGCCTAATTTAGAGAACTACCCACCTATAGTCGCGCGTCAAGGAGCCGAACAATGTTGCACAGAAACGTGCGACTAGAGGATCCACAATCTTCTTATGCTGGCTTCTTGCGAGGCCCCGTCGTCTGGACTTCGGAGCACGCACTTTGAGGTAGATGACATTTTGCTGCTCCGTAATCAAATCCGCCGGCAGAAGCAGATCGTCTCGAGCAGCTTGAAGGACTTCGCCGGGACGACAAATGCCAAAGAAGGCGAGCAAGGTCACTCCTGCCCACCTATACCACCGCCAGCAAATAGCGACAGCAATCATCGCCCAGAGGACCCCCACCGGCAACGGACTTCGATGCTCGGTCGGTTCAAGCTGTTCCCACTTGCTGATCAGCTGCCAGACGCTCCATGATAGTTCCGATTTTTTGTTAAAAAGCTTCAAGGATAGGATAACTGATAATAGAACACAAAGTTGGCCAACCAGAGAAGGAACCATTATGGAGACTATATTAAAGGTAGACTCTAAAACCCAATCGCTACTATCTTGGGGGCTCCTTATTACCATTATAGCAAAATGGGCCCCAAGACCCTATTCAAATCTTTACGGCCCCCAAAGTAGACGGGTTTCATAAAGCTTCACTGCAAACCCTTCACCCCACATCCTCAACCCTCGAGGGCTTAGGATTTAGCCTTTAGCTTACACTTGGTCTCCCAACCCCATAGTCTATAGTGGGACTCAAAAAATGGCAGCTAAACACAAGGATCCTACAATCTGGGTATGAGGGGCATTCCAGAAAACCTAACCTGTGAGATCCTTGTGTTTCGGTGGTTTTTCGGGCTCCTGAACCCCAACGAGCGCGAATCCCAAACACTGACGATTCAAGCTCCCAGTCCCCCGGAGCTCTGAATAGCCAGGGCTTAGGGGTTTTGAGTTCTGAGGTCTTGGGGTCTAGGGGTGGAGGGTTTAGGTGTTAACAGGGCTGCAGTTTGCATGTAGTGTCTAGCGTCCAAGGCGAGGATCCCCAGTACCCTCCAGCTCCGTTTTTTGGTATAGGGTAGTTGGATAGTTCAGGAACCTAAGACCACAAAAGGTTCGAAGGGCCTACTGCTAGACCTCGAAGGTCTAGAATTCAGGGCTACGTTTTGGGGTTGCGGGATCGGCCTAGCGTCGATACTGCCTTCCCTAAACCCTAAACCCTAAACCAGGTCACTCTGCCCAGGGGTTTCGCATGAAGGTTTTTGCGGTTGACGATAGAAATCCTGCATTACCCATAAAAAAAGTATACCATAATTCCATAGTTTTGGGTCCTTAAGCTAATGCAGGATTTCTATCAGTAGCATCTAGGGTTTAGGGCTTTTGCAGAGACAAGGCTTCTAAGTCCATTCGGGCTTAGAACTTCGGGCTCCAGACCCCGGAGGCACTATTACTACTACCCATATGCCATAGTAGTTCCTTTTTGGGATTACCTGGTAGGATTCTAAATATGAGCCCCCAAAAAGGAACTGCTTTGGGGCCTTTGGGTATAGACTAGCATGGGCCAGGGCTCTTATAGACTTTTAAGTTCGAGATTTTGGGCAGGGTCTCTTGTACTTCTTTCCAAGCTGCGATGACTGGCGCTGCTTGTGCATGTAGGTTTCCACGTCGCCGCCCTCCATGAACTCTGTCACAAAAAGAGGCTCCTGCTCCCTGCAACAGTGGCAACTTGCTGTTTGAGTTTAGGGTTACTTTGAGTTGAGGACACACTGCCCATAGTCTCCACTGTAGTTCCTTTTTTTGTTAACCAGTTTTACAGTTTTTGGTTAATCAAAAATCAACTACAATGGAGACTATAGGTTGTATTCGGAAAGACCTCAATTATAATGTCGCCCTGCTTCTTCGATTCGTCTTCTGCGCGGTGACCAGGCGATCATGATAGGGATTTCAGCCGTTTTGCCAAGGACTGTGTGAAACTTCGGCGACAAGCCGTGAAATGATGCAAACCGAACGAACCTGTCGTCATATCTGCGCGCTAGAACATCGTAGCAGTAAAGCTACACGTCATATAGCATTTTCACAGGCAGCCAAAACAAAGCCCTGAGGGTCTCGGCAGACTCTCAAATTCTGCAGACTGTTCTGCTTTCAGGGTGGCGGGGGGCTGACTCTTTCCCGACTTCAGTTCCCCTTGGATTTGGGATTTCCCGAAATGTTTGGGTACCTTATATTGGGTTCCTTATAATAAGGATCCTACTTTTTTGGGTATTATATTAGGGCCCCCTATTTTCGGAAACTCACATTTCTATGGTCGACAATGGTTTGGGATTCGGGTTTGGGGATGGACATTTAAGGGTCCCTTACAGGGTTCTATAGGGGATCTTTCGGATATATTTTATGCTTTTATGCATGCTGTATTCAACGCCTGCACTCAAGCGGCCCCTTCTGAGGAAAGCAGCTTTTTGGTTAACTCCGGTGGTCCAATGTAGGTAGTGTAGGAACCTTAGGGTTCTATAAGGGTTCCTTTAAAGGGACTATAAGGGTACTATTATACGTAAGGGTTTTCAGGGGCTTGATGTAGGAACCTGATGAAGAAACCTTGGGCCTTCATGAGGCTTCCTTATACGAATCCTACTATTTTGGGGTCATAGGCCCGAGGTTTCTTAATCAGGCTCCTGCGTTACCGGGACCTTTCCCTGCTTCGGAACTCTCGGAAACTTGGACACAATTAACTGCGAGGCTTCCATCGCGTCCTCTTTTGGAGTTAGGATTAAGGGGAATGTTGGGGATATAGGCCCTCTCTATACTAAGGTCCGTTGCTTAGAGAGCCAAAAGTAAGGTTACGAAGGGTCCCCCTTTAAGGGATCTCCCTAACGCTACCTACGGTTGATGATGCAAATCCTGCTCCAAAGCCGGTATTTACCTAAACACGAAACTTCAAATGCCCTTGGCTCGAAACCCTGAAAAGCCCCTATTTGCATTATTAGTAATATACATATACGTATTATTAGTAGTCAGTATTAGCAACCTTAAGCTCCAAGCCAATAATGCTAGATGCCTAGACCCTACACCCCTACTTGAGGATTGTTGCCCACGGTGCCCTGCCTATCCAGATTCGCTCCCAACAGGTTCACCAAGCAGGGGTGGCTGATCGCAGTCAGAATGTGCATCTCATGCAGCATCTCCCGCACAGAAGTCTCCTCGAGAGCAGAAGCCCTACCTCCCAAGCAGTACGTGATACCTACCCTCTAAGACCCTATGAATCCAATGAAGCTCTCGTAAAAAATTGATCAGCCAGCATAACACCTGTAAACCCTACTAGCTATTGAGGATGGTTTTTGAAGGTTGAAGGTTCCAGGGACGTGGGATGCTGGCTCGGGCCACTGAAGTATGCAAAAGCTAACTGAACAGCTAATTTCTAAGAAGAGGACGTTACGGACTCAGGGCTTTGGGGCCAGCCACAGCAATGAATCCACGAATGACTCTTCACTCTGGCGGTACAACGGCAGTACCACTACCTACGGTCGCCACAGGTACTAGCACTATACGATGTTCAGGCAAGCAGGTGGATAACTGACCTGACCTAGCGTGAACGTCGAAGTTCAGTCTCCAAGGCCACAGCCTCCGATGCGGGCGAGGGGCACGTGTCTCCTTTGAGTCTTCATCATCCTGCGATTGAGGGTTAAGGTTTAGAAGTTCGGGGTTTAGTGTTTAGGGTTTAGGGTTTTGGGCTTCAGGGTTTGGGGTTTTAGGGTTTTAGGGTTTTGGGTCTTGGGTTCATCATCCTGCAATTCTTCCGATTCGTCCGGCCCTCGATCGCATCCTTATTGGGGCTTGGCTTCAGTAGCCAAGTTTTACCACAAATGCTACTAAACCTGTTGCAAAGACGACTAACTACCTAAGGCTCCAGCAATATAGCTTCCTGGTCCAGATTATTGCGGGGAACTGAAGGTCTACGACGATAGTCTTCCAGGTCCAAGGTGTCAAAATCCAGTCATTCTGCTGATGGACAAAATCCTGCATTACCCAGAATAAAGAATATACAATATTACCCATAGTTTAGAGTCCCTAGGGTCATGCAGGATTTTGTCCATCAGCAGTTGCTTGAGCTCGGTTCCGATCTTGCACCACTTGCAGGGCTCGGCAGCTCCCAAAAGAAGGCTTCAACCCTGGGTGTTCAGGGTTTGCCCAAAGAGGCCCCAAAGTAGTTCCTTCTTGGGGTTCCCTTTAAACGGTTCCTTAAAGGGGGTACTATAAGGGATCCTTCAAGGTACTATAATGTAGGGGCCTTAATCATTAGAATATGGTTTACCCAAAGGGCCCCAAAGCAGTTGCGTTTTGAGGTTCATACTTAGAAATCTAAAATGGAATCCCGAAAAGGAACTACTATGGGGCGTATGGGTAGGGTCTCAGGTTTTAGGGGACCCAAACTTTGGGGCCTCAGTGTTGAGGCCTTCAGTTTCACAACTTGTCACCCGCTGCCCATGAAACTCCAACAGCCTGCCAGGCAATGCAGGACCTTCTTAGAATACAATCCCTGCACCCCTAACTTTAAACCCCTAACCCCCAGACCACTAAACTACACATCCCATAATTAACCCTTACTGTAAACCTGAAAGCACTATGCCCTGAACCATCAAAAGGTAAACAAGAAACACAAACAAACATCTTGGTAGCAAAAAGTCTGTGATTTCCTTGTACCACCACTACCTAACTCCCTGTATCATGTCCTCAACTTAATCCCGCAGCAGGACGTCCCGACCTTATCGACAAGATCACGCTTGATGCGCTTGACGACGGCCTGAGGGTCTATGGGGTTTACGTTTCGAGGAATATACGTCGCCGTGAAGAGACCGTAAGCAGAGGGAACCCAGCTCATAGCTGTGTTTGGGACAGGTACTTGAATCAGCTAACATACTATGAATGCAAGAGCAATAGTTGTGTAATGATGGTTTTACTGCTGGTCGGAAAGTCCCATTCTCAAGATCGTAATAACTTTGGAACAATATGGGTAATCGTTAAAGCTTTTATATACGGAGCATGACCACAATCTTCACCGTCATCGCCAGCATTACCAGCCGTGTTAGCATGCACAGCACCACCTCATCATCACCATCACCATGCCATCTAGAGCATGAACATCACCCTCGTCATCGCCATCCCCTAAACCCTAAGCCCTAAATCCCAAACCTCTAAACCCTAAACACTAAACCTCAAACCCTGAACCCCTAAACCCCCAAATCCTAAACCCCTAAACCCCTAAATCCTAAACCCTAAACCATTAGCTCTGATCCCGAAACCCCCCAAAGTCATCAAACATCGAAGCCCCTGAGCCCTGAGACGTAATCCTCACGAGCTAAGCGGACACGAGCATGTAAGGCCCAAGCCGAGGTAATGTAGGAACCGGATTAAGAAACCTTGGGCCTTTATTAGGGCTCCTTTAAAGGGTACTATTGCTATAAGGGTATACTATCAAGGATCGATAGTAAGGGTACTATAAAAAATTAATGTAGGAACCTGATTATTAAGAAACCTTGGGCCTTAATTAGGAATCCTTATGTGAATCCTACTAGTTTGGGGTCATGAGCCCAGGTTTTCTTAATCAGGTTCCTCTATCGATGCATCAACGAGTTTCGCAGAACCCTAGGCCCGAAACCCTAGACCCCAAACCCTGAAATCAACGAGCCTGGTGAACTGTGATTTACAGGGGCCCCCCAAAGGGGGTATGGCAAACACTGTTTACTAGCAAGGGCTGGCGAGAATCCGATGCGCATGCAACGCATCTGCGCACATCTGTTTCCATCCTCCCATGGCATCCACCCACCCCTCTGCCCGCCTATGATTTTCGTCGTCTTGTTCAGGGTTTCTCTGCTGTGTCCGCTCCTCCCAACCCGCTGGCCGTGGTGCAGGAATCAAATCGCTTGCGGCTCGAGAAGGCATGAAACCTCTTCTTGTCCCTTGGAGCGGAGGGGCGCAGAGTGGGCCGAGAATCACAGTGTCAGCCGGGAGAGGCAGGGGTTGCAGCAGGGCAGGCGGCAGCGCAAGGCAGGGATAGGAGTGGGAGCGGGGAGGAAGGCAGGTGAAGGGGCAGGGGCAGGAAGCGGCAGGGGCAGGGCCAGCAGCCAGGGCTAGGGGGGCACTCCGCAGCACTCTGCAAGGCTTTGCAAGCCTTGCGGAGCGTTGCGGAGCGTTGCGGAGTGTTGCGGAGCGTTGCGGAGTGCTGTCCCCTCGTCGTCCGGCAGCACTCCACAACACTCGCAAAATCTCGCAAAGGTTGCAACACAGTCAAGGAGGGTGCCGCCACCGATGCCGCCGCCCACCCCGCCACTGCCCGCCGCTCTGCGCGAAGTGCGCCCGAGCCCGAGCCCGATTTCGAGTGAGCCGCTCCAGCTCGAGCCCACTCGACGCGAGCCCGAGGCGCCTTCACCGCCGTCGCTGCCCCCGCTCGGCGGGGCTTGGGACTACGCAAACTTTCCAAAGCCTTCCGCCCCACTGCGCACAGGTTGCTCACGCTGATGGAGGAGGAGATGAGGAGGAGGAGTGGGAGGAGTTGTAGTCCTACTGCTCACAACCTGACGGTGTGCCTCGATATCACCTTGCAGGCCCTATTAAGGCTTACTAAGGCCCGAAACTGCTCAATAACGAAACAAACTATAAAGGCCTACTAGCTTTTGCTAGGGCTTGCTAGTGCCTGCTAGGCCTTGCTATCTCAGCTGCTTGTCTCGTTTGAAACTCGATTTGGCATACCCCCTTAGGGGGGTCCCTTTAAATCACCTCCCAGCCTGGTCTTGCAGAAACCCAGATCCAAAACCCTCAACCATCCTAAACCTCAAACCCTACACTCCCGAAAAAGCGCGCTGGCTCGCAGGGACGATGTTTCGAGTTTCGAGGCACCTTCCCTGGGTAGGGTTTATGTTTAGTAAGGGTTTCAGTGTAAGTAGGACATACCTGTAGGCCTGTAGGCCCTAAACCCTGCAACTCAGGGCCTAAACCTTAAAGCAATAGGGTTTCGGATCCGTGGGTATATTCCAATTGATAAACAGGAGTCTTCAAATTCTGTTAAATGTGCATATACTGTTCGATCGTGGTGCTTGATATCCGTCGCAGCAAGTACCCTGACGCACCCTGGCCGAACATCCACAATTCAAGTCTACATAGGGTGATCAATTCCCCAATTTCGAGGGCTTTGCCGTTCGGCCACGCCAATCAGCAAGGCAAACTGTACCTCAGAAGGTGCTGCTTTTGCTCTTTGGTACGTAAACACAATACTGTCTTGTCGGATGACAGCTTTGGTTACGAAGCATGAGGTATACCAAGGTTAACTACAACCTCCCAAAACTACAGGCATCTATATACTGCAACCAAGCATTGTGGTCCTTGAGCTCCCATTGAAGCCGTCTTGATGTAGCTCCAGGATTTTATGGCAGTCTTCCTATACAACTTGTGTAGAGTCTTTATGGATGCCCCTATTCCACCCTATTCCCAACAGGTCACCTCGCATGTATGAACACCGATGATTGAAAAGGAGGCTCGACGACACTCCCCCAAGCCCCAAGCCCCATATTTCGCGCTGCATGTGTTTTGACGCGTAGGGGTCACAAGAAAAACAGTATGCAAGTCGAACCCCAAAGCCCGTTGCCCTGCAGTCGAAACTGCTCCCAGTAACCGTTGACGCGGAATCCAAAGCGCGGTCCTAGATCTACAAACTTCCAAGCCAAAACATACGAGTTGCTCTTGTAGGTCGTGCAAAGAACTCGCTTCAACACCATGTCCTGCCCGGGAACGCTGCATCTTCTCAAAGACCTACAGCCCAACACCCAGGCCTTCACACTGACAACAGGGCTTTGCGGAATAGTCTACTTAGGGGGGTCGGGGGGCTTAGTCAGTAGTTAGTAAGTAGACTTATAAGTACCCTAAACGGGACCCTAATTGGGGTTATGATATTTATAAGTCCCTAAAATAACCAGTTACTAAGTCCCTCGACCCTCCAAGTAGTGCCACTACATACCTTATCTGGGCACATGCCAGTACAAATTGAAGCGGCCCGTGTATCGCAGTACGGGTAACTGTCAGTGTCAGTAACCTGTGGAACGCATCAACAAGTGAACCCCCTCAATCACTGAACACTGCCCAAGCCCGTAAATGCATCAAACAGTCCCAAGCGTACTCACCCCAACAGCTG